TCGTCTGTTCTATATACGGGCATCCACGTATCCTCTCAGTCAATGAGGCAAGGAAGAAAGTATTTTGGAACAAGTTCAACAAGAAGAAGATCATTGACCTTTGTCTAATGCCACTATGCCAGTCAAATCTTCATCATCACATCATGAGAGCTAACTATGTCGCGTACATCTTTTGACACGCCGATCAGCTGCTAGTAGAACTCGAGAGCCCCGACGAGCATGGATGGGACGGAGATGGAAGCGTTGTCAGGAGTGACATTTCCTATCCCGGGGAGATTGATGCGCTACTCGCAGGTACGGAGAGTTAGAACAGTTTGTCCTCCGATGATGACTACGAGGATGATTTGGATGTGGGAATTGAAGACACGAGTGAATTTTGAAAAGGAAAGTGCAAGGTTTGTGATCAGAATGTACATGTTTTTTAATGCCATGCATAACATGACCTCAATTTAATGGGGCGACAGAATTGCTTTTTATCAAAAAGAGCAGAAATCACTAGCTTTCTTGCTTGTTTAAGTAGGATCTTCCCAATAGTTCCACTAAATCAAGGATATTTGTATCAAACGGAGTCTAGAGGTTCCAATATATCCGCGCATATAACTTCAATTTTTGAAATTAGTGCACCGAAATTGAGCAAAATCACCAACTTCCTTGGCTATCTAAGGCACATATGTAGGCACCAAAACGAGGCTGAAGGCCTCGGTATTTTGCTGTGTAACATCGATTTTTGAAATCAGCGCACCGAAATTGACCAAGATCACCAGGCCAACGACTTTGCCTATCTAAGCTAACTAATAATTTCCATCTATTTGCACCAAAACGAGGCTGCATGCACCAAAACGAGGCCGAAGACCTTGGTATTCGCCCGTGTAACATCGATTTTTGAAATCAGCACCCCAAAATTGACCAAAATCACTGGTTTCCCTAGCTAACTAAGACAACTAACGTGTTCCCTATGTATGCCCCAAAACGAGGCTGTATGCATCAAAACGAGGCTGAAGGCCCCGGTATTGGCCCGTATAACATCGATTTTTGAAATCAGCACCCCAAAATTGACCAAAGTCACATATTCTCATAAATTCCCTGCTCGGGTTACGATACCCCCCCCCCTTCCTCCTCCTGGACTATTTGTTTACCTTCTGTTTTCTTGTTGAGTAGAACAGCATCTATTGCAATGGAACTAAAAGCTTTTTATCCAGCTTTTATCGCGTCGTTTTAGCAGTTTGTCAGTCATGCTTGCACTAAAGTAACAAACGCAACTGATCTCAAATGTACTTCGCAAATGGAATTTTATCGGAATTTCATTATAACCATGAACTATCAAATAAAAATATAAACACGTTATTTACCGTTTAGGTCGGTCCGTACTAAAAAATATTTTTCCTCGGCCTCAGAAGCGTCCCGCGGCCTTTGGCCTCGGGCCGCTTCTGAGACCTCGGGAAAATATTTTTTTCAGTACGGACCTCGCTGCCAGTATATATATATATATATATATATATATATATATATATATATATATATATATATATATATATATATATATATATATATATATATATATATATATATATATATATATATATATATATATATATATCAATACGGAAAAAATGTTTTATATTGATTTTATAATATAGCATGCACAAAGAAATGACATAAAAAAAATTTTCCGACGTTCCGTCTTGACATTGAGTTATATCAACACGGCTCTTAACCAATCAGCGTTGAGAATTTACAAATGCTATATTATAAATAATAAATATTTACTACATGCAAGCAAACTGCTAAATTAAATATAGTTTTATCATGACCTTATATGGAAACGCTGCAGTGTCATTCTGCAGTTTTTTATTGGCATATTAATATCAGAATGATTTGTTGATTTCATATAAAGTGCTACTGCAGCGAATTTTTCGACCTTCATTTTTTAGCTTAATTAAAAGTGCTTTCCTTTCTGATCTGTTTACCACAAACAGAATTGAAATTGGTCAATTCAAACCGATTTTATAGCCTTCCAAAGTGGCCATTTTTGGCACTTCCTGTGCGAACTTTTGATCGGCCATGTTGATGCCATGTGACGTCATAAGATGAACACGATTTCATCATGGCGTATTAAAATTATAGTAAAACCAACAAACGCGGAGACGAAGGCCGTGTTTCTGGCAGTTCTAACTTAGATTATTGCACGAATTCTGAACAGCCTGAAGGAATACCCATGCATCCATTTCCCAACAAAGAGACAGATCCACAGAGTGAAAGAAAGTCAGTGAATTTTATCCGTAAAGATTGACCGCGGGTTTTCACGCATCTGCGAACCTAGTGTTTTGATTGACCCCGTTTTGAAGATTCGTGCTATATCTTATTTTCATTGACAAAACCTCGTAAAATGGAAAGAATACTGAAGGAAGAAACTGTTTATACAATTTACATGGCTAGAATTGTTGCCCTGGCTAAAGTACAACTAACAGACGCAAGGCAAATAATTCAGGTATATATAGTGAAGTACAAATTAACTATGTTCGCACACGTGGTGAATATTTTGCGCAAATGATGCTATATAGTTAGTCTAAAGTGTTTAACATTTCTTATGTTTTAGAGCATTTGTGATTGTAAAAAGACTATCTCCTGTTAAGTTAGTTTCTTGTCCAGAGCATCTTGAGATTGAAATAAAGACAACAATTCAGCATGCCTTGACCTAGTTTCGTCAAGACTTCTGATGACATTTTAAGAGAAACGATGCCATTGGAGTTATATTCAGTCATATCAATAATACATATTGCATAGTATAAAGTAACAATAAATATAATAATACAATAGTATAATATTGTACTGGTACGCTATTATGTGAGAAATATATTTGTGACTTTGAAGATTAATATAATTTCAAAATATTACAGTATTAAAATGTGATATTGCACAGTGGCACAATTTTGACTCAATGGTTAACTGACTCAGTCACAATCTGCCTAATCCAACTAAAGTCGACCGCTTTTCTGCTCAAACGTAAGGCAGCTGTGTCTTTGTTGTTGTTGGAAATTATTTTCTTCTGTTTCCCATCCAAGTAAAACTATAGCCATCAATAGAACCACAGCCCGTAATTGCCAATTACACATATCGCTATCTATTGAAAACAAAATCAAAATCATTTTGAGTATTGCGAATTATTAGGCTATGAATATGCTTGCATGTGTTTATAAACGTTTTTATATATTTTTGTCACACACAATCCAGTTCATACTAAATATTAAGTTATACACACACCAGATGTGTTCAGACGCAATACCGAGGCATATACATACCGAGGCACAATACAGTTTATATATACATACATGCAATAAAAAGGATCTACTTACCACTAATTTTACAGGTATTGTACCATCGCTTGATTGCTCCAACACAGTCACAGATGGTAGTTGCCTATCTGCAGCGGCGTTATATAATTTCTCTATCACTTCGTCTAGTGAAGCTGTATAAAAGCTGTTAGGCAACTGGTTCATCATCGTATTTCAAAGCCGACTTAGCCGAGTCCATACTCGTTGACTTCCAGATGCAGTACTGACCCTATTATCTGAATCTCTAACCGTCATTCCGCCGTCAAATAAACAATAAGATATAGCACTTGTTCTTCGATTTTTAAAAATCAGTTATCTGCGCCATAAACAAGTGAAATAGACAAAAATTCCACTGCAATATGTTGACGCGCCATATAATTTACTACAAATACGACCTTCATATCTTCGTTTCCGTTCATCTTATGACGTCACACGGCATCAATATGGCGGCGGAAAAGTTCGCACGCGATAACCAACTTCAGAGGTTAAATTTGGCAACTTCTAAGCATCGCATGATGGTCAAATATATATGAAAATGCTTCTAAAAGACTGAATTTTTATTTAAGCTAAAAAAAACTAGGTCCAAAAATTCGCTGCAGTAGCACTTTAAATCAGTAAGTCCTGTTAGAGGGATGTTTTGAAAGTTATGAATGCAAGTTCAGAAGCAGCCAGCAGGGATGTTTATGAAAGTTATCAATACTAATTCAGATTTTAAATGCATGCTAATGAAGCGTGATATTGTCCCCATCGCAGCTAATACTAAGTGAATACTAATAAAGTAAACAAATAAATTCATTTTACATGCAAGTACGTTAACTACAAGTTAACTGCGTACTTACATGCATGCAAGTACATTAAGATTCGCAACTGATCTTAATGGGCATTTAACAATCAGCTGCTGATATTTTAACTAGTACTAAAATGTTGTTCCGAAAGCTTTTTCTATTTTTTCGTATCAAAATCTCGCGAAATATTGCCTCGAGAAAATTGCGAAACTGATTCAGTACGCGCGAAATTAAGTACGAATAAGGTATAAATTCCAACAAAAATCCCACTTTTCCCGACAATAGTATGTTACTGGTTACTGGTAACAGCGTCTTGGTATTGTACACTTTCTGGGAAGGTTTAGAGCACGTTTACAACGCCAAGGAGTCTTACAATTACAAGTATCTGTGTCTTCGCTCTGTGACTGTATTTTCCTAATTATGCGTGCGTTATGGTTGGTAATTAATTATAGACTTCATATTGTTCATGCAATATACTGTATAACTGACCTTAAGTGGCAGTCCCGCTGAAGGCGGATTTCCAGTCCTCGCACGAAGCTCATCATGAAATTTGCTGTGCACAGTAAAGTTCATGATTATTAGATTATACTGATATCGAAGGAACTAGACTCAGTTCCGAAATATCGCATACTCGAACCGACCTGACCGCGTAGCTCAGTTGGCAGAGCATTGGGCTAGTATTCCAAAGGTCGTAGGTTCGAATCCCACCGTGGTCAGGCATATTTTTCAAGCCTGCCCGGTGTGGATATACACTCAGAGTAACATCACACAAGCATCTTATTCACCTGAGTACATTACACCATCACATCAAATTTCAGTTCATTTTAATTAGATGCAAGCACTCGCAGCGAGCTGCGAGGAGCTTTGTGCGAGGACTGGAAAACCGCCTTTAAGAGCGGTCCGGTGACTTCGACTTTGAAAAATAGATTTCCTTCAATTTTTGTGTGTTGAAAGGCATTGATATACAAGTGTCCAAAATAAATTTTTTTTTTGAAAAATGTTTTTTACGGCTTCGCTAGACGCCGAAACTCATTTTACCCGTGCAGAGCTATTTTCAAGCAAATTCGAAGGTTGAATTTCGGTAAAGTTTGTTTCCAAGTTTCAACAGCAAGTTAAGACACAATCCACGTTCCCTGTTGCAAAAAATACGAGGATTTGAATAAATCGTGAAAAAACGACAGCAACTTGACGGCACACCGGTTTTTGTTCGGTCTACAAAATTACACGAAAATCGAAGGCTGAAATCTCCTAAAGGGGACCTAAAAATACGCTGAAAACTACTTGACTGTAATGATTTATACTTATTTTCACAGAATCTGAAGAAAAACTTGCGGGTATCAATCTGTAATTGGCGCGAGCAAAGATTTTCTGGAGCCCATGTTCAATGATTTTTGCATATACATTTATAGCTAACAAGACGCTCTATGGAGCGTTAACTCGCTGGGGCTATACAAATACACACATTACTGTGTATGATACCAGGTACAGTACACAGCTATTTCATTGCAGGATATATTGGAAAAAGTTCAAAGACGTATGTCCTAATTCGGGCCCGCAGTAATTGGCTCACGCTGTTGCGGTCACCCTGTCTATATATAGCCAAATTGTTATTATTGGGGACTCAATAATCAAATATATAATACCGAAAAAAATATCGAGTAGGAATGTTACGAAAATAACCTTTCTGGGCAAAACAGCTGATGAAATATTTATTTATTTATTTATTTACTTATTGAATTTGTCACCATACAAAAAAAAATTACATTGACGTAAATATCTCCAAAAGAGACAAATACAGCATGCTTTGTTATTTTTCTCTGTCCAACACCAGACAATTTTACTTGTCAAGGGTACTGTAAGGTTAAGTGAATAATAAAAAGTGGCTTGATATTCTATACTTGCTCCATATAATTGGACTTTGGTTGTGAGCAAAATGTAAAAAGACAATTACCAGTAATCAGTATTAACTTACTACATCCCTACTATTTACCCTAGTTGCGGAGCAGTTGTGCTGTCACTAATACAGCAGAATGTGGTTTCAAATGACAGTCATTTTATGGCAATGATATTCCAGTAAGACAATGGTTGTGTGAGTGGTGTGATAGGAAATTTTTTGATTCATTGTGATTGACTATAAATAAAAGTAGAATGGTGAGAATAATGATGATGATGCTAGTGAAATACAAGTTGTAATGATACTGCTGATAATGAAAATATATTGTACATACCAATTGTAATGAGACATAAATAATAAAGAGATTGGCAGCAATGAATGTGTATGACTTGATCAATTGTGCTGGTGAGAAGGCAGAACCTGCATGGGTGCATTCTTGTATATTGTGCGATATTGCCATGGTGTGGGTGAATGCCAATATATTGCCACCTAGATGAAGTCCCATTCCATTTTGTGTTCAAAACTATAAGGTCGTGTTCTCATCAGCTCCAATCATAACTGGGAAAGTTGGTTTCCACCCTGCTAGCTGGTCTTGAAACTATGTGCACACATATAAGTATGCATTTTTTCCCCTCATGAATTATATTCTTTGCACAAAAAATCTGTTGATTATTTCATCAAGAAACAGCCAGTGAATGTTTGAATTTGGTGTGTTCATGCACTCTGTGCCAAGTAAAAGTGTTATAATTCATGCATAATATGGTGATCTTTTGTTTCGCGATGTAAAAAATGAAATTTACTTACTGATAAAATTCAGTGTAACCATATTTATTAAGCCTCTATGTCTCTCTGTTAAGCCCTACCTCCATGGGCGAAAGAAGTAATTATAGTATTCTCAGCAAGTGGAATAATTGACCATCATCATGGAAATTATGAACCAAAGATATTTGAAAACACAGTATGATATGTCAATCTTGGTGCGCAATGGTAACAATAACAATTGTGTGGTGAATCTGGTTGAAACAGAGCATTTAATCTCCTGATACAAGGCATGTTTTCTTGGGGTTGTAGCAAAGGTCTTTCATGAATTCTAAGACAGCCCAATTGCTGATGTTGCCAATTGCATTGAACCAAAGCTATTAGACAGGGTACAATTACACCTTTTTTCCAAGATATTTATTATATTCTATAAGACACAACTGACAAATGAAGTATTTCAGAAAAATATTTACCCTAAAATTATCAGTGACTTGTTGCCAGGACTAAAATTATCAAATTTCATAAATCATGAACTAATGTAACTGCAAATGTAAACAAATAGGTGAACACACACCCAGTACAGACTGTTATTTGCCTTTAGACTCCTAAGTCTGGTTTTTGCTTACATTTATATACCAGATTCCTAATAAATCTGTTACTTTATACATGTCCTTCAGGACTTCAAGATCATTGGATATTATTTCTCATGATTGGTACCCCCGCCTTTTACCCCCTTCTTCCAGACAATGAGAAATAAACATCCCAACTTTAAATATGAAATTAACTCACACACAAAGGTTTCAAGATGCTGTGTATAATTTCATTCACAACTATATTTTAAACTACATACATACGGAAACCAACCTGTCACTGTTAAAATATTCTGCTTTGATAACTACATGTTTACACATGAAGAATTTCGTTTCCATAGATGTCCCTTTCACTATACAGCATTACAGGCACAATACTGAGTATGTATCCTTCCATGAAAGTACAATAAAATCCCAAGTGATATTCTTTGGTCAATACGTAAACATTACTTATAATCATTATTAATCAACAATGTTTATTTAATTATTTATAAAACGTCGCACACAAGCAGCTGCATGGATACAAAATAGACAGTTTATTTTATAATGAAAGACAGATCACTCGACCAGTTTTCTCTCAGTTTGATCCTTGATCTTTGATAAGTATTACCGTTCGCTATTCCACCATTTGTTGAAAGAAAGCTCGTAGAATGCATAGTTTTAATATATACCCACTTTAGATCTCACTAGGAAAGTTTTATTTATCGTAAAATAATAAAACCCGAAAACGTCGCGCCTTCACGCTGCCATGTTTGACAAAATCAATCGGCTCCGCTCCCCCCGGATTGAAAACTAAATTATTACGAAATGTCCAATATTTTTGGACACACGTGACCAGTGTTTACCAGGGCCTTTGCTTCCCGTACCAGAGCCTCTGAACCGCGCAAAGGCCCTGGGTACGAGGTTGACTTCGCAACCGTATAATAAGATTGGGGTAACTATCGAAGAAAATAGTTTCAACATTAGTTTTATTGGAACATTTTCGACATTTGAGAAACTTTTAAATATACTATGATAGGCGTGTAATGCTTTTCCGTAGATTATCTTTTGTGCTCGCTTGAAAGTACCAGAAAAGTGAAGAGTAATACCCAGATAACAATATTCATCAACTTGTTCCAAAATTTTTTGCCGAATGTCCAGATTGATGTAAAATGCCAACGTTTTTGGGTTGGTGTTCCAAATACTAGAACTTTGGATTTTTTAAGATTAATGTTTAACAACATTTAATATTGCGTCCTTAAGGGTTTTAAGGAAAATATGTCACACTTAAACATCACCACCCCAAAAAAGTTTGAACCATCCATATGCTGGGTACTTATTTGTATTTCAAACATTTTTCTGTGAGTGGGAAAACTAAAGAGGAATCACAAATCGTTGTTGAATAATTGAGACATAAAAACCCGCAATAGCGAGCTTTACATATCAAAGTTCAAAGGTCGCCGCATATCGCATATGATATATTATACGACTTATACTATACAACGGCCAATTGTACAAGAAAAATGATAGTTTACTCATCCCTGCTGGTTGCTATAATCTAACATAATATAAAATAATCCAACACCTCATATTTATTAAATTTCAGTTTCATTCGAACGCCAAAACGCACTCAAATGGGTGAAATGGCAACACGCTAGATATGTTTAATCGCGCGCAGCTCGCGCGGACATATCAAGTCAAGCGTGGGCAGAGCCAGCAAGAGCCAAACATTAATCGGCCTGAGAACTTCATTCAGAGAATGTTATTGAGCATAAGAATGTATCATTATATACTAAAGCAAATTGTATTTCCTGTCATAATATACCTAACTTGTAGGGAAAATAAATTCTTTTGACTTGAACAATATCTTTATTGATTTCTAAGGTTAGTTAAGGACTCTTCTTTACTCCAATATCCCAATGATTGCATGCATTATACAAATACTTGTAGCTCTAGCTTATTTAATTGTCTTATCATATTGTATTGATAATTTTTTTATTAAATACCATGTATACATGTTCAGTGATGTAAGGCTCACAACTTTTCTTCATTTTAATGCAGTGTATAGGTTGTGACAACTAATTGGGCTAAATGACAAAAAAAAAATTGGCCACCTGGATCATCTGAGAGAACCAATTAAAAATGGTCGTTTTAACCAATAAAATTAACCATTTTATTAATTGGTCAAAACAACCAAAAATATTTGGTTATATTAACCAATTATTATTGGTTGAAATGACCAATTAATTAATGGTTAATTTTATTGGTTAAAACGACCATTTTTAATTGGTTCTCTCAGATGCATCCAGGTGACCAATTTTTTTTGGTCATTTCGACCAATCAGTTTTTACAGTGTAATGTAATTTTAAGCATTTTCAAAATTGCTTCTTCGAAATGAAACTGTAGTATTTCATTCAATATCGATCAAATATCTTCAAGTCATATATCAAAATTTAAGTTAGGTCTTTCTGAATTCAGTGAAGTCTATTTGATTGAAACTCTTGAGTCCTTGTCCAGTTTTAACGGTATAACAAATCAAACACCGATACTTTTTAGACACCCGGTGTAGAGCTAGTAAATTATCTCTTTTGAGCTTGTTGCAGTATTATAAAGAGATCTTTTCAGCCATTTTGACTTGAAATTTGCGTTTGATAATTATCCTCCCCTCCAGCCTAGACCTAGGCCTTCTATTTTTATTTATATATTTTTTTAATATTCAGCGCTTTTTCACATGAAAAGACTGGGACTAGGTGATTTGGGGGCGGGGCGGAGGAAGGTCACAAGCCTGACGCAAGCGAAAAAATAGAAGGCCTAGTGGATTTCCCCTCTCTAATTTTTTGAAATAAGGCAATTTCCTTCACATTTCTTTCAATCTTCCAAAATTTCCTTCAAATTTCCTTCAGATTCGAATTTCTTTATAATTTACTTCAACTAGTTAAAATTTCCTTCAAAAAGGAAATTTCCTTCAAAATGGAAGCCCTGCTTGTTGTTGGGAAATCCACTAGGCCTTCTAGGCTTGCTTCCTCCGCCCCGCCCCCAAATCACCTAGTCCCAGTCTTTTCATGTGAAAAAGCGCTGAATATTAAAAAAAATATAAATAAGACTAGAATGCCTAGGTCTAGGCTGCCTCCCCTCGGTTTACCGCCATATCGGGTGTGGCATCGTGCAGAGGCTTCGTGCCTTTCCTCGCCGGTCGGCGTTAAGATCATGTCGAAATAACGCACCATCACGTCATAATTTCTAAAATATCCGGAGTGGTAATGGTAATTATGAGAATAAAGTTTATCTAAAAAGAATATATAAAAGGAAGTTACAAATATATGTAACTCAGTATATAAATTATGTATTTACAAAGCTAAAACTACGAAGATTACGCTTAAGAGAATTCTTTAATACAAGATGGAATAAATATAATGTTTTTAAAAATCTGTCAGTTTTACTG